TAATAACAACTATATAAACTCAGATTATGAAAGTATATCTTTCGTTATTTTGTAAAGAAAATAAATAAAATAGAAAGACCTTCGACTTAATATTTACACGAATTTAAATCATTTTATGACATAGAATCATAGCATGTAATTTATTGCATCATAACATATAAACTACGATAAACTTTACACGCGTAAGTCTACAAGATTAATCAATATAACAGAGGTAACTAGGTCATTGAAAGCAACTTACTTAACCGTTCCACACGTTAACATGTGAAAAAAAAAAAAAATGGTAATACTACATAACTAACACTTAACTTGCAAAAAACCAATGAAAAAGTAACCTCGGAAGCAAAAACGAAATTTATTGGTTACAGAAATTTAAAGAAAAACATAACTACAACACGATTCCACTAAATTTCATGACAATAAATATGATTCAATAAAACATAATACAAAATAAACATATTTGTATGCAAATAAAAACCCATTAAAAAATCGCATGCGTATATCAAAAGTATATCAAAACCCTAATCAAATACATCTTAATGAATTCGACAAAACCCTCACTAAATACATCTTACTATATTCACTACTGTTCACCATTAATAACATTTGTACTCGATTTAAAAGATCTTAAAGCACTACGTAAAGAACCATCGGTAGGCTCTTTACCCTTCTTACTCTTTTGAAAATTCTTCTTTTTTGGTAAATTGCTTAACGTATTATCTTGATCAACCTCATCTGAACTGTCAGACTTATTAAATTCAACATTACATTTATCAATACTATCAATTTCATCCACAGATTCATCGCAAGATTCAACTCTAACACGTTTCGAAGAGACATTATCAGTTGAAGATGAGCCAGGATAAAATTCATCAACACGATCATTCAAGACTGACGACAAATCTTCAACATCATGAGCTTTTTTTAAATTATTATTGATATTTTGGTACATAAAAAGAAGTTTTGATCGAGTCATGTTAACATCTTCAATTGAAGAATTAGAACTATTATCAAAAATTTTCTTCTTCAAACGATTTATGTCGATAAGATTAATATCCCTTATATAAACATAAAAATCATTATGAATAATTTTCATTTGCCCAACAACAAAAACGAGAGATTCTTGCGGGCGAACTGAAGTCTTCAAATGCATAAATTGTGAATTAAAATGTGGAAAAACAACTTTAATTATAAAATTCCACTCCTGACCAAGAACATAATCAGTAACTAACACGTTGAAAACAGCATCCTCATTATTTTCCAAAACTAATGGTAACCCCTGAGGAACACCGACTAAAGAAACTTTCAAAGGACATTTATTTGATTTAACTACTTTTTTCAGAAACATTAAATAAGTTGAAATTGATACAATCATCTAAAAAAAAAAAAAAAAAAAAAAAAGAGAGAGAGATAAAACCTAAATAGATGCAACATCGTAAAAAATATAATAAATATTAACTAATACCTTAGGTTGTTTATTACTTCCATAATGTCCAGGTATAACTT